ACAGCCGTGAGCCGAAGTGTTCGGCCACTTGAAGCGGTTTCTTGATGTTGAACACCGAGTCCATCGACTTTGTCTTCCGGACGCCATTCAACAGGTTTTGCGCGACATTAGGCGCCGCCGTCTTCTTGACACCCGCTTTGGCCGCCGCTGTGCTCTTCGGCGCCGTCTTCTGCGCCTTCTTCTGCGGCTGTTTGTCATTGCCTTTCGCCGCGTTCTTCTTCGGAGGAGGTTTCTTACCGCCGCCGCCGAAGAAATCCCAGAAACTCCTCATCATTTGCTTCCACACAAACCTATTGTACAACTCTTTGTCAAATCTGTGATAATTTACTGATTGTTTCCACACTTTATTCTATGGCTATAATTGACAATAAGTTTCTCAATGTCTTCCCAACTGTTGTAAGCATTTATTGAAATATTCAAAAACTAATCGCGTGTTTAAAACAATGGTTTGAATGGTTTGAATCAATGCATTATAAAAAGTTTTCAATTAAAAGTTTGAACAATGATTTGAATGCGTGAATACATTGAATACATTGTATGCCTTAAAATGTATAGCATTTCAAATATAGTGCCAAAAGTGTTTGCAATGAGAATCGTATGAATCGTATGACAAGTGTTTGTTTATAAACATTGATTGCAAACAGATTTGCATTTTTCACTCATTTTATTATTTATGCATTTAATTGTGTTTTCATTTTAACTGTTTTATTGTTTTTTCAATTATACACTCATTTACTCATATTTTTATTGCTATTTCTTTTACCAAAGAGTTGTCAATAAGTGACACAATTGTATGGATTGACGCGACTGAGGAGGAAGTGGTTGACTGAAGGCCAAGACATTGAAAAGATGTTTACTTCAGCCAAAGGAGTGTCGGACGAGAGACAGGAGTTCTTGGAGTCGGCGAAAGCCCACAGAATCGAAAGGGAAAGCCATCGACGACTCCATCACAGCTCCACTCTTATTCAGGTGAGACCTGAACTCATGGACACGAGATGTCCACCAATTGTCCACTCATTGATTCTCTATTCTGACCCCTCATTGTCTTGCAGTCTGTGGTCAGAGGTTTCCTCACTCGCCGTCGACTCCAGAATGAGATCCGCCGAGAGTTTGATGAATTGATGGCACAATTGATGGACACAAACGATGACACTGTTGTCCAATACGTGGACGCCATCCGTATATATGAGTTGATCCGCAAATTTATGTTCATTTTGGACACCAATAAAGACGACAAACGTTTTGAACGGATGTGTAAATACATGATCGCGACTATGAATTTGACAGACAATTGCCGCCCACTCGAAGACGGCCTCGAGAGACGACAAATCACTTACGTCTCCGTCGTGTTTAACAAACAAATGGCCGTTCAATGGATACAACAGCTGAAGACAGTTCTATGGAAGTGTTGCCAATATCTGAAGC